CCTAGGCTCGAGGCCCACCTCGCGCCGGGGCTCGCGGCCGCCTCTCCCAAGGCGCTCGTCTGCATGTCACCTGGTCGAGGAGCGCTGGAGGCCGTTCTTCCGCCGCGGCACTGGCCTCCGCGCGCCAATGTGATCTTTCGGGCGCGCGAACCTAGCGGGCAAGGGCGGCGGCAGGTCCATGGGCAAGAGCAAAAACAATATCAGGGGCGACGGCGCGGGGGCCGCTTCCAGGGGCGTCGGCGCCGTGGCTGCGGGCGAATCTCCATATTCAGTGCGTCTTGGACTTCTTGGAGGGGGCGCCGCAAGGTCGAGGCGCGCTGGGCACGGACAAAAATCGAGCCCCTTATAGGGGTCATAGTCTCATGCATATCCAGGGTGCCTCGGGGGGCTGGGGAAGGGGGCCCGAAACTCCAGGCTGCAGTGGATATGGACGCAAGTCTTGCCCGCGGCGACGGCCGAACCTGGCGCGAAGATAAAGAAGGCGCGGCGCGGAGGCGATAATGCCAAGCGCCGCCGCAAGGCTGGTCGCGAAATTCGGTCGGGTCCCCCAGCCGGCGGGCCCGAGGGGGCGGCCGCGCCGCCTGGGCCGCCTCCGGACGCAGACGTCACGGGTGAGGAGCAAGCAGCTGAGCTGGAAGGCGGCTCGCTAGAGGAAGATCTGGTCAGGGACGACTGAGGTCAGAGGAGGACAAGGTACTAATGCCGCTGCCCTTCCCTCGTCTTCTCCCTCTTTGTGGATCCTGGTCGGCCCTCGCCGCCACCGCTGGCTTCGCCTCGAACTCCTGGTCAGAACGCGCCCCAGGAGAGGTCTGGGGAGTAGCGATACCAGTGCTTTGTATGTTTTCCCCGTGAGAGCTCTCGGCGGGCGAGGCGGCCGTGCGATGACGTCGCGCGTCCCTCGCGGTCCAGTCTTCCCTGCTCCTTTCTTCCGCGCTGCCTGGTCAAGGTTGCTGCTTCTGCTTCCTCGCCCCTGCACGGCTCGGGGCAGCACCTCTACGGGGCGATCAGCATCAGGGTTTTGGACCGTTTGTTCGCAGCCCAGATTCCATAAACAAAAACACGGACGCGGCTCTCCCCCCACACGCTCGCGCGAGCGGCGCCCAGGGCTGTCCTTAAGCGCACAAGCGAGGTCCCGAGGGCAGTCGGTAAACAGACCATCCGCCCGTGCCGACACCTTCAAGTCAGGTGACGGCGGTGTGCCCTGGATGGGTTGGGAAGCTGCGCGGGGGTTGGGCAGTCTTCGCTTGCCTTTTCTCGTTTCGTGCGCTCTGCCAGAGCTGTTCGACCGCCCGCACAATCCCGAATCAGACAGACTGCCCTGTCGCCGTTTGGTTCAACGCCGGCGTGTGCCAATGCATTTGCTCTGGGGAGGAAAGAGTTTGTCTTATTACATCATGCTCGCCTTCTCATCGCGCCCCCCCCCGCAATTTGAGTTCCTTTCTGCCCTCTCCTCCTCGTCCGTGTCCTCGTCCTCGTCCTCGTTCTCGTCGCCGTCCTCCTCCTCCTCCTCCTCCTCCTCCTCCTCCTCCACCTGCTCCTCCTCTCGTTTTCCTTTGTCGTCTCCCCGTTGCGTAGCCGGTCGGCGGGCCGATCCGGCTCCGCCTGGCCACGTTTGTTCACCGATAAGAGCGACACTCGTCAGCGGCATGCGGCATTGCGCGGGTACCGGGAGACGCCAACTGTCCACCCACGCCGACTTCGGCCAGGCCAACCCAAGGCCCAGGAAAGAGAGAAAGAGAGAGAGAGAGAGAGAGAGAGCGTATCCCTGCATCCCAGTCCCAAGATTGGCCTGGCCAGGATCGGTGTTGGTGAGCACTTCGCGTCGCTGGGAGATGCCGATTGCAGCTGAGTTCAGCGAGGATGTTTGTCTTGGGCATCGCCTTCCCTGAGTGACGTGGTTGGGTCGCTGCGCGGTCCCAGCGAATGTTGCCAGGAAAAAGGCGGTCCTGGTCAAACTCGCATGGATCTTTCTCATCATCACAACCGCCGACTATTCAATGAGGAGCGTATTGCGTGTTCTCAAGCTGCTTGCTACGAGTTCGGTATCGGTACGGTCGGTTTGAAGCATGAGGCGGTGATTTTATAGAGGTGTACACATCGGGATGAGGGGAGAAGACAACTCGCAGGATGTAGCTCTTGCTAACCCCACATCTCGTGCGCGGAATGTCTGTCTGCACGCTCGATTTTGGACAGCCGTGTAACATACTCACAACGAGCGCGGATTTCTGACCACGCAGAGCATTCTCTCGCTTGCGCATGCAGTCGGCAAGAAGTCCTTCAACATTTCATGGTCGTCCTAGCTGTCGCGCGCTGTTGTATATCCAGCTGCCTGCGGCAAGTCCCGCCACCGTGTTGGTCCAGCACCCTCGGAGGCGACTGTTCGGGGATCGCATCGCACAGGATGCGGATGCCGTAACAAGTGAAGAGGAGGAAGAGGATAGCCGTCACGTGTGACACTTGCCGCGCTCACTTCTTGAGGAACTCTCATGAAGCTGATTGCTGCTGTGAGGCAGTCGGGGGGGTCCCTTGGGGCCCTCTTGGGCCATCCTGGGGCCCTCTTGGGCCGTCTTGGAGCTCTCATGGGTCGTCCCGAGGTCATCTTGGCCATCCAGGGGGTCTCTTGGGGCCATCTTGGGGTTGTCTTGGGCCGTCTGGAGCCGTCGATGAGGCCCTCCGAGGCCGTCTTGCGTCCCTCTGGAGGCTCATGTGGGTTAGCTTGGGTCGCTGTTGTGGTCGGGGCCGTTTTGGGGTCCTCTTGGGCTGTCTTGAGGCCGTCTTGGATCGGGCCGTTTTAAGACACTCTGGGGCCGTCTAGGGGCCATCTTGGAGACCTCCAGGCCCGTCTGGAGCTGAAGGAACTCCAAACCGATGAGGCCGCCCAAATCTTTGAGGCACTATTGGGCTGTCAAGGATTTCGGCCTCTTCGGGCCCGACGGGGGGGTCCTCTGGTCGCCCTCTTGGGCCGTCTTAGGGGCCTCTTCGCCCGTCTTGGCATTGCTCGGACGTGCACTTTTGGACAGGACAATTGGCGTTTACTAAACGGCCCTGGGCGTTTACTAAACAGCCCTGCCCTGTTTGATTCCTTCTTGGGGTGCGTTTACTAAACGGCTTCGCGTGTCGGGGTGGTTATTATCGGGGTGGATGGTTTGCCCTCTATTTTTCTCGGCGCAGAACCTCGAGACACATCTTCGACCATCTTGCGAAGCGTAAGCGCGCGACGTCGACGCACGTACGGGGAATGGGCGTCCGAGCGTTGGCGAGCCGTCTCGAGGCCACCTCGGGCCGTCTTGGGGCCGCCTTGGGACCGCCTCGGAGGCTCTCGCTGCCCTCTCGGCGGTCTTTGGTGGCCCGCCTCCGCCGTCTTGGAGGCTCGGGGGCGCGAGCCCACAAGGTTTTTCTGGTGCGAAGGATCGTGGTCTCATGGTCAGGGGCCAATAGTTTTTTTTTTTTTTTTTTTTTTTTCATTTTCCTCATCCCCCTCCACCCTTCTCCTCGCCTCCCTCTTCCCCCTCCTCCTCCTCCTCCTCCTCCTCCTCCTCCTCCTCCTCCTCCTCCTCCTCCTCCTCTGTCTCCTCCTCCTCCTCTGTCTCCTCCTCCGCCTTCTCCTCCTGCCTCCCATCTCCTGCTCGTTATCAGGGACCCGTCGTTTTTCCTGCGAGGAATCAATCCTGGCCCCTGGAGCGGGGGCGGGCACGCGACTTGAAGTGCTCCAGGGAGGGCGTCGTGGTGGTCCGTCGGAAAGGATCGTGGCCCCCGTGGCGAGGGACCCACGCAGAAGGAGGAGGAGGAGGAGGAGGAGGAGGAGGAGGAGGAGGAGGAGGAGGAGGAGGACGGAGAGGAGGATGAGGAGGAGGACGAGGAGGAGGAGGATGAGGAGAGGAGAGGAGGAGGAGGGAGGAGGAGGAAGAGGGGACTCCTGGCCTCGGGAGCTGGGGCGATGCCCGCAGCGCGTGGTCTTGTCTTGGGAGGGGGGGGTTGGTGGCTGTCCGTTCGAGGGACTGCAGCGACCCTGCCAGGCAGCATCTGTGGCATCCCGCCACGCCTCGGCGTGCTGGAGGCACGGTGGCGGGTGTTGGTACGGAAGGCATGCTCCTGCTACCTCCCCCTCTTCCGCCTCCCTCCCCTCTCCTCCTCCCCCTCCTCCGCCTCCTCATCCTCCTCCTCCTGCCTCCTCCTCCTCCTCCTCCCTCCCCTCCTCCTCCCCCTCACCCCTCCTCTCCTCCCCTCCTCCCCCATCCTCACCCTCCTCCCCCTCATCTCCTCCTCCTCCTCCTCCTCCTCCTTCTCCCTCCTCCTCCTCCTCCTCCTCTTCCTCCTCCCTCCTCCCCCCCTCCTCTCGCCCTCCTCCTGTCCGCCTCCTCCTCCTCCTCCTCCTTCTCCTCCCCCTCCTCCGCCTCCACCTCCTCCTCCTCCTCCTCCTCCTCCTCCTCCTCCACCTCCCTCTTCCCTCCTCGCTCGGTTTCAGCTCCTGCAAAAGGCAGCCTCGTTCTCGTATTACTCGCGAGCTGCTCTGCGTCGTGCTTCTTGGGGAACAAACCAGTCTGAGCCCTTGTCTGACATGAGTTTGATCCCTGGCCAAGTCATGATGAGGGCGTACTTGATTGTGCTCTGAATCCATGGTTCCACGACTCGCCTGCCTTGCCATGGGAATGCGAAACACGCCACGATTCTGATTCGCCATCTTGAGATCCCATGCGCTTGATGTGCGCATTCATAATCCACCCCAGTGTGCTAGCAAGTGCCTCTTTGCACAGGTCCCAATCAGCCCTGACAGTCATGCCAGGCTCATGTCGTGGGGTCGTGGTGACTTGAGCCGGGCATGATGATGCCCGCTCAGAGGAAAGATGCCAGTTTCATCATCACCGTCATTGATGCCATGAGTCATGCCGATGCCGTCGTAGTCACCATTTCCTCCGCATGCCATGCCCAGGTTGTTTTGCGACCAGGCGCCTCCGCCGCCTCGGACCTCCGTCTCGCCAGTATTCGGGCGGCCAGGCGCCATGACAGTCGTCGTGTCTCTCCCGGCAGCTAACGCGCCAGAGAAGCGCGTTGGGCAGCCCGCGGCGGAGCAGGAGGAGTTCCCAGGTTCCGCGGACATGCTGGCCGCCATCATGCGCAGTGCGCAGTGCGACGCGGCCACTGCCACGGAGATGTTGAGAGCTTTTCATAGGGAGAAGGCCGAGGGCGACAGGATCCAGAAAATGGGGGGACGGAAGGGAGACAAGAGCATCAGGACGTCGCCCGACTTCTTCGAGTGGATGGAGGCCCGCCGCGTCAAGGTCATGATGGGGTCCGGCAGTGACTGCCACGGCGACTACTACTCGTGCCTCGCCGACGACGCGGCACAGAACCCCCGCAAGCGCGAGGCCGCCGTGCTCCTCTCGGCGGCGGAGGAGCAGCTGGAGAGCGGCCAGGCCGACGAGGCCCTGGCGTCTGCCAAGCAGGCGGGGGAGATCTACGCGGGGCTCGGCGACACGGCCGGGGAGGCGGACGCGGCCCGCATGGCGGTGCACGCCTACAGGCTGCAGGCGGAGCTGGCCAGGCGGAGCCCCTGGGCGGACCCCTCGCGGCAGGGTGCTCTCCTGCTCGTGGTCCGATCTCCCATGACCGCCACAGCAGGCCAGGGACCGCTGACCGACGAGCGCAAGTAGTCCCAATCTCGCGGGGCACCGAGACATGCACCCACTGTGCCGTGAAGCCGCCCTGCCCTGTGCTGGAATCTCAGCGTCATGAATCTAGCGCGCGGTTCCACGTTTGTCCAGAGTGTCACGCCGCCTTGGGGAACTGGTGTGGACGGATGCAGTCAAAGTGCTGAAGTGAGGAGCAGTCCCGCTGTTTCTTAGGTCCTTCCACGGCTGTTCCTGAAGCGCTCCCCGTGCAGCCAGGCGCTTCTGAGGCCAAACGGATGCTTCGTTCCTTGTTTAGTGTTCCTTATGGTAGTAGCTTGCATGCCTATTCAAGATCGTTGTCTGTGGTGCGGGCGTTCGCGGTCCTTGTTGCCGATCCGTCTCGAAATGAGGCCCCCCTTGTCTCGGCCTCAGGTGGAACCCGATCGAGTACGGGGGAGAGGACCTGGCGCTGATGAGCACGAAAAAGGCGCGGGAGCTGGCCGGGCCGAAGCTGCAGTCGTGCAGGGAGCAGGGTGACCGGCGGGGCGCGGCCATGATGCTGCTCTGCCTGGCCGAGGTGGACGTGGACGCGGCCAAATGCCCGTCGGCCATCCCCGAGGCCGCCCTGCAGGGTGCCACAGATGCGTGCGCGCTGCTCCGAGAGGTGCAGGACCGCAGGATGGAGGCGGCGGCGCTGCTGACGCTGTCCCGCATCCAGGGCCGCTAGAACCGGCCCGCCGATGCCAGGCGCTCGGCGGAGGACGCGCTCTCGCTGTACCGGGTGCTCGGCGGCAAGAAGACGGAGGCGGCGGCGCTGCACGCCCTCGCCGTCGCGCTGGCCCTCGACCACGACGTGCCCGCGGGCCTGCAGGCCGCGAGGGACGCCCTCGACGCGGCGCGGGAGGCGCGGGACTCCAGGGCTGCCGCCCTCGAGCTGATCGCCATCGCCTCCTTCAGCCTCGACCTCGAGAGGCCCAGCGACGCCATCCCCGCGGCGCAGGAGGCCGCGGACGCCTGCCGTGCCCTGGGCCAGGCGTTCGGGGTCTGCGCGGTCGCGGAGCAGATCCTGGTGGAGGCGCACGTCATGAGGGACGCGGCGGACAAGGCGGTGGAGCTGGCGTCGGCGGGGGTGCAGAGGTGCCAGGAGGCGGGGGACAAGCGGGAGGAGGTCTGCGCGCTGGTGACGCTGGCGCACGCGCGCACGTGCGCGGGGGACGCCGGCCAGGCGACCGCGGCGTACGACGAGGCGCTGGCGCTCTGCCAGGAGCTCGAGGACGGGAGCTGGGCGGCGCTGGTGCGGCTGACGCTGGCCCAGGCGCTGCTGGCGGCCGGCGACGCGGCGGGCGCGGAGCAGACCTTGCAGGAGGCCGAGGCGTGGTTCGCCCAGGACGGCGACAGCCTCCACGAGGCCGTGGCGGTGACCCTGATGTCCAGCCTGCTGCTGGAGAGGGGCGACTACGACAGGGCCAGGCAGGCGGCGGAGCGCGGGCAGGAGCTCTTCCGCGAGGAGCACGACACGGCGCAGGAGCTGGTGGCGCAGCTCCAGGCCGCCGCCTGCAGCTTCCTGAAGGGAGACATGGCGGGCGCGCTGGCGGAGATCGAGGACGTCGTGGAGGCCAGCAGGGAGGTGGGTTTCGGGAGGGGCGAGATCGCCGCCCTGAGCCTCGCGATCGACGTCCACAGGGCCTCTGGCGACGCCGACAGGGCGCTGCAAGCCGCGAGGGACATGCGCAAGGCCGCCCAGGAGGCCGGCAGCCGCAAGCTGGAGACCAACGCGCTCTACCACATCGCGCGCCTCCACATTGACAGGGGCCAGGGCGAGGCCAAGCTGGCCGCCAAGGCCGCGGACGCCGCGGGGAAGGGCGCGCAGAAGCTCGGCCACAGGACGGACCAGGTGTACATGCTTATCCTGGCCGCGGAGGCGCGGCTGGAGGTGATCAAGGAGCTGAGCGACGGCGCGGGCGGCGAGCGCGCGCTGAAGGACAGCGCGAGCAGGTGCGTGCAGAACATCGCGGACGCCGTCGCGCTCGCGCAGCGGACCGGCCGCTCGGACCTGCAGGCCCTGGCCTCGTATTTCGAGGGCGTCGTGCTCCTGGCGCTCCGCGACAACGACGGCGCCGTCGCGGCCTCGCAGAGGGCGCGTGTCCTGTTCCAGGAGTCCAGCGATCAGTCTGGCGAGGCCTCCTCCCTTCTGATCTTGGCCCAGGCGCGCAACGAGCTCAAGGAGGGTCGCGAGGCGGCGGAGGCCGCCGCCAAGGAAGCACGGGACATCTTCAAGCAGTGCCAGGACAAGGCGGGCGAGGCCAGGGCGGAGAAGCTCTTGGATACCTTGGCCCCGCAGATGCCTGCCTTGCCCGGAGGCATGATGATGCCGCCGTGGGCCATGATGGGCGCCGGTGGGGGGAAGCGCAAGGTCAAGAAGATGGTGAAGAAGGAGAAGAAGGGCCTGAGCTCCGCAATGGTGGCGCAAACTGTCCTGAGCCTGGCCAAGGAGTCGATCAACCTCGACAACCTGGAGCTCTTCGACGATAGCGCGCTGATGGACAGTGGCATGGACAGCCTGACGGCCGTCTCGTTCAGGAACAGCGTCCAGTCGGCCCTGAACCTGAAGATGCCGGCGTCTCTGATGTTCGACTACCCTACGATCAAGGAGATCACGAGCCACATCGTGGAGATCGGCGGGGGCGACGGCGGAGGAGACGAGTGGGAAGAGATAGAGGTGGAGGAGGACGACGGCATGCCTGACATGCAGATGATGTGGGCCATGATGCAAGGCCAGGGCGGTGGCGGGGGGAAGCGCACGATCAAGAAGAGGGTGAAGAAGGAGAAGAAGGGCCTGAGCTCCGCAATGGTGGCGCAAACTGTCCTGAGCCTGGCCAAGGAGTCGATCAACCTCGACAACCTGGAGCTCTTCGACGACAGCGCGCTGATGGACAGTGGCATGGACAGCCTGACGGCCGTCTCGTTCAGGAACAGCGTCCAGTCGGCCCTGAACCTGAAGATGCCGGCGTCGCTGATGTTCGACTACCCCACGATCAAGGAGATCACGAGCCACATCGTGGAGATCGGCGGGGGTGATGGTGGCGGAGAGAGCGAGTACGAGGAGATTGATGTGGAGGTCGATGACGGCATGGGCGGTATGGGTATGATGCCCCCGCCCGAGTGGTTCATAGCTCAGCAGGGCGCCATGCCTGCCGCCGCCGCATCTGGCGAGCCCGCAGCGGCGCAGGAGAAGGCCAAGCCGAAGGGCCTGGACGCCAGCATGGTGATGCAGACGGTCAGGGACATGGCCCTGCAGGCCATCCAGCTGGACGACCAGAAGCTGGACGAGGACAGCCCGCTCATGGACAGCGGCATGGACAGCCTGACGTCTGTCTCGTTCCGGAACAGCCTCCAGTCGGCCCTGGGCATGAAGGTGCCAGCCTCGCTGATGTTCGACTACCCGACCATGAAGGATCGGGGATAGCCAGGACCCCAGGTTAGTAGTAGGGCCCCGGAGACCTAAATTGAGCAGAATCACTAAACCAGGTCTGCCGCAGCTTGTGTTATTCGGGTGACGGCAGTTCCGGTTAGTGGAACGGGGCGGGGGGGGGCCTCCCCCAGTACAAACCACTAAACCAGGTCCCACTAAACTTAAGTCGGGCCCGTCCCTCTACAGGAGGGATATAAAGATTAGTACAAATATAGCCAGGGACGATTTTTGAGTATTTTGGAGCATTTTTGGAGTATCTCTTTAGTACTTTCAAGTTTTCGCCCAAAATCCCCCTGTAAGGGGACGGGCCCGACCTTACACTAAACCCAGTTCTGCCAACGCCCGAAATCAATATCGTTTACCCGATCCCCATCCCCATGCTCATTCCCTTCGAGACCCCCACCAAATTGCACCCGCAGTTGGGGATGCACCCCTCGAAACCCGAAGGATACGGCCCATATCCCCATCTGGGGGGGTAAATCGGCCAGTGGAGCCCAGCCCACGCTGGTGGGGATCGGTTAAACGATACTCACGAAAGGATCGAGGAAACGTAAGACTCGAGTAAGCCGGAACTCGGGTTAGCCGACTTTTTTTGACGAGCGCGTCCCGGATTTTGACGGTCCCGTTTTCGTGGGATGCCTGCAGCGGGAGCCCGCGTCAAATTTCAGACTTGGTCTCGCCGTTATTATGATGGCCCCGTCGGGCCAGCCCGAGCCCCCCCCGCACCCGAGCCTGACGTCTCCCCGAGAGGAGATCACGGGCAAGATCGTGGAGCTCAGCCTGGAGAAGTGAGCGCCGAGGCACGCCGCGGCGGCCCCTCGAGAGCGCGGGCTGCACGTGCCACGCCCCGCTGCCCCCCCTGCTCGTGCCCCTTCTGGGGCCGGCCCCTGCTCCGCAGGCCTGGAGGCTGACACCAACG